TAATGTCTGTCTGTATGTCACAACTGCTTCCTCTGTCTCTGAAGAGATTACACCGCTCCGTTCATTTTTATTTGAAAGAGTGCATCTCACTTCATAGCATCCTCTTTTATTAATATCCTAAAGTCTTTGAGACAACACAGTAGGAAATGTGTCATTCTGAGGAAAAAAATACAAACATAAATGAATGTCAGATATGCCACTCATTTAAGCCATGCTTCTATTCTATTTTACGAAACACAGATACAGCATATGGCAGTATGTAATGTCCTCAATGTATTTTACATTTCTAGAACTATATCATCTATGGAGATGAAAACTGTATGCTGAAGAACAGAACGAAAAAGAGACAAATCCAATGAAGGCATGTGAAATCTCTAGGGAGCTATTTTGAATACAATACCACGAATACTCATAAGGAAAAAATCAGCAGTGATATCTGTTATCCAAATTTTCTATCTCCTTTGGTAAGGCTCTTTTCCAATCATGCTTTATGCATCACCTAAGACTAAATTTCTTGTTTATTGAAGAGCTATAAGTCTTGCCTCACATCTCAGTATGTCCACCAACAAACAAAGGATCAATTGCTGGACTCAGTCTAAAAGAGTTAGACAAAAAATGTACATGTGTACACAACCTGTTTCATGGTACTTCATATAGATAGGATTCCATAACACTCAATTCTCTTATTAAATTTATACATTTAGGAAAAGTATAATCAGACCAAAGAATACACTTTGTTTCCTTTGAGGCTATTTGATGAGACATAAGGCAGCACTATTTTGAGCTGCTTTTGGCTTTGCTAATATTGCAGGTTTTAAGATCTAAATCAAATCCCAAACCTCTCAAGTTATTTATCTTACCCAATTGTTTTCTTTCTCATTCTGTTAACAGCATTCTTAGAATTAACATTTTATATACAAGAATCAGGAAAAAATGTTTCAGTAAAGCAGGTGAGCCTCACATCTACAACATTTCAAGCTCCTTCAAAGGGATTTGTTTGGGAAGTTGTGTACAACTTTATGACACCTTACCCCCATGTTACATAGCTCTGCATTTCACAAGGAACGCTTATCATTCTGAGATAGACAAATAAAAAAGAGAAAAAAATGAAGGCATGTTAGATACACAGTTCTCAAAAAGCTTCATGATAAAGTGCTCAAGGCCCAGCTCTCCCGCAGCGGTGCTTTATGTAATATATGACCATCACGTCTGGCAAGACTTCCACAGGTCTGCCCTTGATTTGTGGAAGGAAAAAGCTGAAAACCTCACAACTATTCTTCATTCCCAAGAATTAATCTCAAGTTTGGCTTCCTGATGTTTTCAATTTTAAAGAGATCCAAATAAACCCCCAAAACCACACCTGAAACATCACTCACAATTATAGCTGATAGATGAGGGAGACCAAAGTCAATTCCCTCCCCAGGCATCCCAGAGTACTCTCCATCACAGCAGCAGCTCTAGAGTGCTCAGAGATGTGGTGATCTGAGACTTAAACTTATTCTGCATGGGCTGATGCTAGAATATGAAGCAGCTTTGAAATGCTTTTCCCTGAAAAGAAAGCATAACGTATCTTAAATATACACAATGCTATAAGCCTCGGGAACCAATATATACTATTGAAACTTCAAAGAAAACAGAGACTTCTCAAATTCTTCACACCTACCGGAAAGCAAGTGGACAGCTGAATGTGTAACGCTTTGGCCCCTAGCTGAGCTATGCAAAATGGATGGCACTTCAACTGATCATTTCACTTTGACCCAAATAACTCCCTGAACAGTCCACACTTTCTTATACCTCTCCCAGTACTTCAGTAACAGGGATTGAGATTTGGCAGCAGTAAATGTAATTTGACGAGCTTAATCGGTCTTCAATGGTCAGCTGAGCTTATCACACTTAACCAATAGGGAATACAAGCATTAGACCAAGCCAGAGAAATTTAGAGTATACTAAACTCTAATGGCTCAATACATCATTCACAGATGTAATAACTGCACTGTAGACATATGTAGTGTGCTATATGTGCCAATAAACACTGGTAGAAGGTACTAGAAGCAGAATAAAATGTGGCCAGATGCCTATGGTTTGCTAAATATTCAGTATTCATTAAAATATCAGCTGATTTTATTTTTGGTTAGCAGAAGGATTGTACTCCCAAAAACTAATATTATTTTTCAAAGAATACCACAGAACTCATACAATGCATCTCCACACAAATCTTACCTCACTTAAATTCTTAGATCATTATTGTTAGTTTTTTTTTTTAATTTAACTCTATATATTATTTATAAACTGAGATTTAATACCAAGAGTGATCAAGTACTCTATTCTGTCAGATTATTTACCTAGTCAACTCTGACATCCTGATTTGAGTTCTGTGTATGTTCACATCACTATGAAATTATTTGATTTTAGTTTTTATTCTGAGGAAAGCACTGCATCCTTGTTTAGAAAGAAAACAAATGCACCTATCACATACTGAATTATATATATCTTTTGGAACACATGCATTGAAAGGTTGAACACTCACAAACATAGCTAAATAAACAAATCTGCAGAAGGCAGATGTGTTCCATCCTGGCAACCAGGCACTTGTTTCTACCTGTGTTAGGAGAAAACCTCTACCTTATGCCAAATATTTTAACTAGTTTTATTGTGAACAGATACAGAAGGCTCACATCAAAACTGCCCTGAAATGACAAGCTCTATACACCAATCAAAATCATAATGAAATCCAATTGTGCCTTTCGTCAATTATTCTAAAAACACAAATCTGTATTTTAAAAAATACTTTTTAAATATTTCAAGAGATACTCCTTAAACAACATAAAAGAAGTCTGTTATTTGTTTTTAAAAAAGTCCAAGAAAACAACTTATGAAAAATTCCTTTGTATACCAAGGCTAATTGACTTGAGCTCATTTCCCCCTGCTCCTTCTTACAGCTACTGGAGGACAAGCTGCAGAATGCAAAGCACCTACTGATAGGCAGTAGCAGCTGGAGTCCTCCCCTCCTCACTTTTACAGCAGCTCAGAAAACACAGTCTGGGTCACAGCAAATATACGCTTACATTACTGAAAATAGTAAGTTAGAGTACACGATATTAAAACATTAACATTTTAAGGCATAGTAACAGAGATATGAGAGTTCTTAGGTAACTGTCTTTCATAAACTGTTAGTGGTCAAAAGAAAGCGAGTGGCACAGGGAAGCTATGTAATACACAAGCTTTTTCTTTGTAAATTTAGACTGTGCAGCCACACTGCTTCTATTTGGTAGACTCCTTCCCATATTTCATGACTTGAATACTTCAAGTTTAGCAGTTACATCAAAAACCATAGGACTTTTATCCTCTAGTGATCACACTGCTCTGACTGATTTGCAAAATATTAATAAAAAGATAAAACTCTAAAGATATTCTCACTGCTGATCCACACTAATTACAAGTAGCTGCTCAACACTGAAATTTCATTTTGATATAATTTATCAGTCCAAATAGTTCATAAGGTTTTATTATTAAATCGCGTGTAGTAGAATGCATTGTAATGCAGCAGTATGTAAGACTAAGATTACAAAGTATGAAAACATTACACCAGTGCATAGTATAATAATGCATTATTTCCTGAACTTGATTCTATCACTACAGTTTCACCAACACAAGCCTGCAGAAAGGTGTAGTGTTAATTCCTCCAGTTTTGCATACAGGAACACATGAGAAATACAGTACTGCAGGAAGCATGTGAGGGTCAAATTCCATCTATTAGAAATTTTCCAGAAACCCATTATATTAACCAGATCAAGCCAAAAATGATATATTGCACTGCATATTAGACTTACCTATAAACAAATGGTACAGAGACATTGCTGTTTTTGACAGAACTCAGTACTTCTCTTCATATGTTTTTATTGTTAGCTCTCAGCAGTTTTTGAGTAAAGCATCAAACTCATTTTGTGGTCTTCAATATAAATTCCCTAGTAAGTAATGCATCACTTAAACCACATCAGCTAATTATTGTTCAGTTTGAATACCTAAATTCTAATAACTTACAAAGTGTAGAAATCCTCCTAGAGCAAGTTTCAAAAACCTGGAAAAAGGATATTGTAAAAAAAAATTTTAAAAAGTTGCTGATGAGGTAATGTAATAAAAAAGGGTTTGTCAGTCAAGACATCCATACTATTTCCAGGGCTTTTCTATGTTTACTTGAAGTGCATAAGATAGGAATAATCTTACGTGAAGATTCTCAGTTCACCACTGCCCTCTCCAATGGTCTATACTCACCTTTTTACCCCACTACACATGCACAGTTAGTCAGATCAAATCCCATTTGTTAAATGATCTGAGTACACAACTAGATGATGATAGCCTTGCTGATACAGAATTGCAGACATTTGAATTTAATGTGAAGAGCTACATCTAGTAACTGAAAACAGGAAGGAGATCATGGGTCTCAAAAGTTTTTGCTTTGAATCTCCACACAGCAAAACACCGTAGTATTTGTTGTACAGTTCAGTGCTCTTGGAAAAACAAGTCTGTATTTTGCAGACTTAATCACCTGGGTATGTAAATGTTCACCCTATAAAAATAAATAAAATTCAGAGCGTGCTACTATTTGATATACAAACATCCTGAAGACTCATAACCACACTATAACGTAATCAGCCAGCATGTTACGGTTTGTAAAATACAGAAAGCATAATTATCCTTCTATTTTTTGTGTCTCCTCAGAACAAGCTAGAATGACTTGCTTTCTTGCCTATAAAGTAAGAAAAATATAATCCTTGCGAGGAGAAGGTTTCAAGTGCTATTCTCTTTTTTCCTTACCCTAAACGCTAAATATTTCATGGGTACAACTGGTCATTAGTGTATCCTCTGGTAGGAGAGAAGGAAACGACCAGTTCTTTGCAGAAAGAATTGTTAGATACTCAGGAAGAAACAGAAGGACACTTTCTTTCAAGATTCTAAAACACAATTAAAGAATAAAAATAATTAATAGATTAAAAACTCACTTGTAAATGTTGAGAGTTGTCTGTCATATTGTCCTCTCGTCTACGAACTTCTTCCAACAGCTGTGCATTCTTTTTTTTCTCCAGTTGCTGATTGTGCTTCAGATTGGCAACCTTCTTGTTTTGGTCCTTCATGTGTCTAAGAATTGTATGTACATATGCATTACTACTGATGACTGCAATTACATTTTTTCACTATAAACCAAGTTAAGACTATGACACAGGGCATTAACTCATCAACTTAAGGATGTATTCCTAGTGTCAGATTTAAACAAACTTTACCTTGTTCCCAGTCTGTCATAATGAAAATGAAACAGCTTTGATGTCATCAGAGTACAGAACAGTAAAGCAATTACTGTTGCCTACATCATTCCTTTCTCATCGTTTGCACACAAATACACAGAGGTGCTTTCTGAAAAACTGTTGCAGCAGAGGAAGATTACAAAACAATCCTTTTTTAAATCTTTTCTTAGTAATATGAAGTCTAATAACATAAGATCAACAAGTTTATAAATAACTTCTTGTGAAAATGAAACAAACTTTATCACCATCACATATTTTCTGTTAAGATTGTTCTCAAGTAAAAAAATAATTTGTTAATTTACTTAGAAGTTCAATTATATTTTTCTCTGGGTCTTATTCATTAATCTACGAAAAGCTTTTCTGACTGTAGTATGTAGCATATATCTTTTTAAGAAAGAAGACAAGCCAATCCTGCCTGGCAGGAACTGGAAAAATATCCTTGCAGAAATATTTTCTACCTGCTTGGATTCTTAAATTATTTTCTCAACTTTCCTTGACTTTGAGGAATTTGTTCTCTTTTATCTATTTAAAAATAAAGTCATGTGCAAATTCCTAATGAGATCTACTCACTAATCCTATTTTGGCAAATTAAGAGAATATTATTCAATACCCAGAAGGACCACTGAAAACATTTCTGTTGCTTCCATGTTAGAGCTTTCAGTGAAAAACAAAGTTATAGGATATATTTCTTCCATTGCTTTCATTATGCTAAAGAAGCAAGGTCATTTTATGTTTAGTTTTATCACTTGTTTCTTTGTCCTACTGCTGGTTCTTTCAATAATTATTTAAACTTTAAAATTTATGACGAATGTTTAATTAGTAGATATTGCCATGGTACCAAAGTACCAGTATCTTCAAGCTCCTTATGGAGAAAAAAAAAAAAAAAAAAAGCAGGTACAATTGATTCTAATAACAAAAATCTTTGCTACCTTAAATGGTTTAATAAATTTCAATCAAGAACTGCTACGGGAATCATCATAATTCTTTATGATCAAGGATGCTGAAAACAAATTGAACTTTGTGAAACATCTGTGAAATTGATTCTTATATGACCTCAACACGGGATGCAGTCTGAGGACAAATAATCTGAAAATCAATTTTTTTCTGCCAAAAAAAATTCCAGAAAACCTGGAATATGGCCTCCATACCTTTACATGCAGAAGCCCAGAATAACACAATTTCTCCCCACTTAAATACAAAAATGTACTTTTCATTACTTGTCTACTGGTGGCAACTCAAGCTACACAATGTGACTGAAACTTACATGTGCGAAAATAATCTATGGAATTTGATTTCATAGCAAAGAATTTCCAACACAGAAGAACAGAGAACACAGAAGCGCTGCTTTTCTCTGAGATCTCCAGAACGGAAGAAGATGGTTTAACAAACTCATAATTATTAACAGAGAAATTAACAAAATATAGAACACAACCACACAGCATAATAAGACATTCATATATAGTGAATATAAAGCTACACGTGCACCCTTCAATTTCCCAAGTCATTTCATTTTTTGAAAGTTTCAGCACAAACCTGGGGGGAAAAATACTGAACTTTTCTGAGCACAGTACAGTGCTACTAAATTAACTAACACTTCAAATGTTTCTATTTGATTTTAAAAGTATCCAAAAGTAACCCTGGCCATTCTATGATTCTATGACACAAAAAGATAATTAGCATAAATAGTTGTCTATGCTACAAGCTATACACCTGAGACTCTTTCCCTTAGACATATTCTTAGCCAGATAACAAGACTCTTAGGAAACAACTTTCTTCTAAGCTAGAAGAGTCCATGAAGAATAATTGTAAATATAGACCTAATCAGCAGAAAAATAAAGTGAATAATAGAACAAATGTCTTCTTCAGAACTTGATATATACGTGATGTTTGGCAGAAAATTTTGCTGTTAGTATGATTGTGCTCTTACAATACAAAACAATTTCCAATCTATTGCTGAATCAGTGATAAATTCCTATTTCATCTCTGCAAGAAGTTGAATTTTATGCCTATGCCAACAGTTTCTTTCATCGCCTTTCCCTCTCTCAACTTCCTATTTCAGTTTCTAATGCCACAGCAAAACATGAACATTGTGAATCTTCAAAGAAAAGCACCTGGTGCCTGTGATATGCAAAACCCCAAAGAGCAGAAAATAAACGAAACCCATATCATATTCTTTCTTCCTCAACTGATCATGTGCACATGGAAACTAAATAAATGTTACAGTTTAAAAGCCTAGTTGTGTAATTTTCTCTTACATCTCCCATAAGGGTCTAGGAGGAGTTCAACACAGAATTAAGACAACGCATTTCCCTCTAGATTTTAATTGCATTGCTTTCAGATGGCTTTAGAGAGTTCGTAGGACTGGCACATGGAAGAGAGAACGCAGTGCAGTGCCCTCACTTTATGGAACATATACTCAGGAAAAAAAAACAACCCATAAGCAATGAAATGTTTTGTGATGAGCTCACTGTACACACAAGGGAACCTTCTCCACAGGTGTGCAGCATCTGCACAGTGCATGGACAGAAACTCCAGAGTTTCAGAAGGCTTAAGATTGTATTTTCAATACACTTTTAAATGCCCAGGATTTCAGACACAGAACAGTCTAGATACAGCAAGAATGTCACTGTTCAGATAAGATGGGAAAAATATCAAATGAGTTATTCTAATAAGACAGTCCTGCCAACTGAAAAGCATTCAAGTAAACCAAACTCAGATCAAGGACAGAAATGATCTTAATTTCCAAACAATTAACTGATAAGTTTTTTTATAAACTTGAATTCATGTTCCGGTACTTCTCAAGTATAGCAGCTGATTCAGTAGATACTCATTCATCTCTTAGCTTTCTTTTCTGCTTGGTTGTATTTCACTGCTGTCACGCAGCAACAATTCTAGGAAATCCCCTCCTGTGGATGAGCTAAAATAAAGGGTGAGAAAACGGACTCCCACCGCTCAGATCACAGACTGGTTTGAATTGCAAGAGTCACCTTAAAAATCACTTAGTTCCAACACTGTCCTCTAGGATCAGGTTTCCCAAAGCCTGCCCAACCTGGCTTTGGAGATTTTTAGGAATGGAGCATCCCAACACAGATGCTTTGCTTCATGGCAAAGGGATGCAGAGAAATGCATCCTTAGGAGAGTCATGAGTTTAACACATTTTCTTTTTTTTCTTTTTTTTCTTTTTTTTTTTTTTTTCTTTTTTTTTTTTTTTTTAAATACAGTGTAGGAACATTATAGAAATACACAACTCTAACTCTACCAAAAACGTTTACCCTGGCTCTTCATAGAAACCAGATAAATTGACAAGCAAAACTGGGAGTAAATATACATACAAATAAATGGCCACTAAATCTGAGAGTTTGGCAACAAAAATTCTAGTGGAAAAGATTTAAATCTGTCTGCTTATAAATTAATCAGAATAATCTAGAGTATATATTTCTTTGGCCATTATAAATTTTTTAGGAGATGTTTCTAGTTCACTAGATTGCAGCATTTTCCAGGTCAAACATATATGGTTTTTTTCAGTAATTGTAATGACTACATTTAACCACATCCTTTTTTTTTTTTTTTTTTTTTTTTTTTGTTTTTGTCTGGTTCTTGTGGAACAAGATACAAAATGATCTCACAGGTCAGACTACAGTTTATTTAATTACTTTATTCCAGCTTTGTAAAACAAATATTAACATTTAGTTTCTGCCTGTATGCAAGTATCTTTCAGACCTCATTTCACAGTAGTGCATAACTGTCATCTACAGTCAAATGCTTTCATCTCTCTTGACTATAGAAAGTCACGCTATTTCATTAAATTCCCGGCTTTAATTAACCACCTGGATACCTTGGCCAAAAAAATACGTAATGTCAGCCAAAACCAAGTGTTACATGCTCAGTATAGCCTTTACTCTATTTCATAAAGACTTTTTTTTCCTAAAGCATCCAAAAAATGCAGACATGTGAAATACCCCTAAGAGCAAAGTCTATAACATTTTCTGAAGCAACCCGTCTCTGTAATAACTGTCATAACGTTAAACAGCATTACAATGGGACCAGTTGTCTGAAAGTCAACCAAAAAATTCTCCAGCATGCCAGGAATATGTGCACCTCAGTTTTAATTTTACAACAAAATATTCAATTAACTAGTATAATACATAAATAGAAAATTATATTAACAGCACTTTTCTTCTTTATAATCTTAATGAAAGAAAAATGAAAAAAAAATCACAGAATACAATAAATTTGGCAAGGAAATAGTAGAATATTTTCTACAGAAATAAAAAAGTTTCGTAATTTTTTTTTTTTTACGAAAATAGCACTTTAGTCAAAGCAAGTAATTTATACCAAATACCAAAGTCTGAAAAATCTGGTTTAAAATGTAATACAATAAACACATTTCAAACAGACATTTTCACCTATTGTTCTAGGTGTGCATTAGAAAGTATCTTAGCATCAATACTTGAAAATACTGTTCTTTTTTTAACAGCACACATTTAACCTTATTCCTATATGCTAGACCTTCACAAAGGATTCATGTATGACAAATTGTAGGTTATCACATTACAAGGTATTCTGGGACTCAGTAGCACGCAAAAGACCCAATGCTGTAAATCCTGCCTACATGAACGACCATTCAGAACTACTCGTACATTACCTCAGTAAGGCTCAGCCGAAATATTTCCAAGAGTTCAGTTCTTACTGTCTTAAAAATTGAGACTACATAGATTCCTATTTGATTAGTAAGTATAGACTAAAACAATAGTATGGGAATTAGTGTCATGAAAACTCCTTAAAACTCAGATTCAACTTAACTGAAAGACAGAACTTCCAATAAGGTAATGAGCA